TCGCCAGAAACAAAAGCATGAGGCAACCACACAAAGTTTTTAGATTTTAAACACACCAAGGAGCAATATTTCAAGTGCCATTCATCTCAGAAGTCAGAGAAGCTTTTGTTTAACCATCTTTCTCACTAAAGGCTACCTTCTCCCTCTGTTTTAGTGTACTGTGGAAGATGATGAGTGTTAAAGTGATATTCTCAGCAATATTTATCTCCAAACAATCCCATCTTTCATTTATGCAAGTCCTTGAGAATGGTGATGAAACAGGCCATGAAAAAAAACCCCTAGGCTTATGGACATCGAGCTCTTCCATCAGGCAATACTATGGGTAAACAATGGGCAGGAAGAAGAGGCCTTTCTCTACTGTTCTGCTAATGCTCTTCTAGGTTCTTCTAGCTAAACATATAAAAGAAAAAGATGTAGAGAAATGCCTGGCACAGAATTGGAACTAGCACTCTAGTGCTTGAGATGTTGACAGCATTCAAGCTGATTAATTAATATCAGTAAAGCCCACTGAAAAAGGTTAAAAGAGCACTTTAACATGCAGTGATATTATCATGATTATTAGGATGGCATATTTCTGTCTTTGCTAATGTATCTTCCTTTATCAGCTCAATAAACTGATGTAGGAGTGCAATTTTTCAATTACATTTTCATAAACAGATGGGAGAATTTAACAAATTAATGTTTAGAATAATGGTACAGTTATGAGGCTTGTACTTTTACATTTTTTGCTCTGAAGCTTTTGATACCAAATCCCAATAATGCCAGTCTCCTTAGTTCAGAGTAGTTTCATGTTCCTAGGTTGCTGTATAATGATCTCTGATCTGACTGTTTCAATGTGAAGAGATATGGGTGACTGTAAGTAGTAAGCTTAATTTATTAAATAGTAGGGATATTAATCTGTTTGTCAAATTTCATAGACATTTTAACAAAAGCTTAACCTCCCTGATCATTATCCTTTTGAGCTAAAACACACTGTTGCAGGGCAGAAACGATACTTAAGTGCTATTGCAGAACGCATCTTTTGTTCCTAAACTTTATTCCTAACAAGGGCTAAATGATGCCCCATTTATAACATTTTCAATTCGCAGAGTCCACATGTGGCCACATCCTAGGATTGCCAGACACAGTGTACGTTTCAGAAAGCTAAACCTCATAAATCTCCAGAAATTCCTCACATCTATTATGTTTACCTTCTGCTGCTGATGAGCCTGTTGGGCTCTGTACAGAGGAAATTACAAGCGCTCCAGAAGATTTGGCAAGAAGATGCTAGAAGAAACAATGGGCAAAAAAAAAAAATTCTTAACTGAAACATCACATCCAGCTTTGGCTACCATTTACATATTTGAGATTACAGCTAGTAAAATGGAAATTCCATTGAAATGGAATAAATTGTTTTCAAAAATCCCTATCTGATTAGTGTTAGTTATGTCTGAAATTAAATGTGTTAAGCTACACTCAGTATAACTTATGGAACTTAGCTGAAGTCTAACATTCATACTGAAATTCAGTCTGTTTATACACTTTTCCAATTAAGAACAAAACGCAGTTGTATACCGAGCTTTTTTTGCATATCATCTTCTTGCTCATTTCTATTAATCTATATTACAAAATGTCTTCCTTTACTTAATAGATGTTTGGAGACTGTTGTAACAGCTGCTAACTAGTAAGGAAATGCCAGAGAAATATTTTATGGTCACACGTTTAAATACCACTGGAAATTTGTTTATAGTTAATGCCAACTGAAACGCTTATGTTCTAGGCATATTTTGCATAGTGATCAAAAATTAGTAGTTCAAAATCTCCCCACTTAATCCATGACAGGGCCAAGGGCCAAAGAAAATTGAATTAGTTAATCACAGAAAGAAAATGAAGCTGCAAGTTTAAAAATTTGTTTGCTAAATAAAATAATTGTTAACTGTGTTGCACATAGACACACACACACACACAACCTCGAACATCCACAAACAACTCTGAATTAAATACCTGGAGTTTAGAAACACCATTGAAAGGGATGGAAATCTATCCCAAAATTACCGGCACAGATACTGCCTTGATGTGCTCTCCCCCAAATCAGTGCCCTCCTCCCTGACAACAGCAGGGGTGGAAGGGCTCAAAGCCCACCTGGGCTACTGAGCGTCCTGAAGGATGAGGTCACAGGTGGGGATTTTTTTTGGAAACCTGCATGGAAACAATCTTACAGAACTAGAAATGGTTGCTCCCATCTCTACCCAAAGGGTGAAAGTCACAGTGAGTCTTTCTTACAAAGGAGAAGTGAAGTACTTTGGATTATGTATGAACTGTATGACTGTACACCCTCCAAAAGCGAATCATAAGAGAGAACTATCAGGTTTTGGAAACTAAACAAAAGTCTGCTCTTAATCTGGTGTCTTAACTAGCTTCATAACCTTAGAGTATTCCTGCTTTTAAATCACCCAGGACAAGTCTGTCTGGCTAGTGGTACAGAAATATACAGTAAACTCGTAACCTGTGATACTGAGAA